GCTTACAAAAAAAGACAGATTAAAAATGATAGCACAGAGCATAGTGCACCAAAACAAAAAATCAGAGGAGGTAAGGCGGTGAAATTACGAAGGAAGATTGGTGAGCTTCACAGGGTAATTCCATTAGCCACTGGAGAGAACAAACGAAAACTAATTGCGGAACTGATAGAATTAAAGAAAAATAAACATAACAACTGAGGCATGGTTTGGACAATTGTACTTCCAAAAGCCAAAGAACAGCAGCAGAAAATCACCATGAACAACAATAACAACAATATCAACAATAGCAGCAGCAGCAACAACCTTTTAATAAATAATATAATAGCATCTATTTCGATTGTTTTTATATTAATTGTAATCATATATTTTATAAATAAGCATTGTAAGACATATGTTAAAAAACAAATAATTAAAAATATGAATTTAAATAATAGTGTTAAAAAAAAAAATAATAATAAAATTTGAAAATAATAACAATTAAATTTTACTTAAATGAAGATGAAAAAGTTTGTTACAATATGCTTTTATCAAGGATGTTTTAGTGAAATGTTAAATAAAATAAATATTTAAAAATAACATCTATCATAAATGAAAATTATACACAATAAATAAATGGAAATAGAATATGCTTCGAAGATACTTGCGAATTTAAAAAAGAGTCCAAACATAACACCAATTATAGTCCTTAGCGAGGCCTTTTCGGCGACAAAAAGATTAAAAACTTGGCATGAAATAAGAAAGTTACAGGAAAAAAACGCGATTTAGCTTTTTAGCGGGTGACTAAAAATAAAATTTTACACCCAAAATGTTTTCTCGACATAAAAGTTCAAATATAACTGACACACAATCAACTTATTTTTCTTTCTTATATAGTATATTGAATTTAGATAAAATAATAAAAAATATACCTATACGAAAGTTTGTCATTTATTTACACTTCAAAAATATGGTCACCGTAATTATATTGCAAATTTTCAGAACTTTACCTAATCACTTATTTTTGGAAAACAAATTGCGTGTTTACACGCCCACTAATAATTACATCCAGCAATTTCTCCCAAACTTGGCACAGTTTTTGGCCTTGTCACAACATACCAAATAGTTGAAAATGTTTAAAATCGGATAATAACCACGCCCACGTCCCATATAACGGTAATTTAGAATAAGAAATCTTCGATAAATCAGTAAATATGACGCCTACCTCCCATGTAACGGTAGTTTTCAGAAATACGAAAACTGCGATATTTTAGTAACTGCTGAAGATTATTCACTCAAAACTGATATTTAGAATCAGTTTTAGACGAAAAATAGGAGTATTATATATTTTTGGAAAATGGGCGTAGCCACGCCCACTAATAATTACATCCAGCAATTTCTCCCAAACTTGGCACAGTTTTTGGCCTTGGTACAACATACCAAATGGCTGAAAATGTTTAAAATCGGATAATAACCACGCCCACGTCCCATATAACGGTAATTTAGAATATATAGGACGGATGGTATTGAAAATGGGCAAAATCGGACAATAAACACGTTTACCTCCCATATAACTGTAGTTTTCAGAAATACGAAAACTGCGATATTTTAGTAACTACTGAAGCTTATTCGTTCAAAATTGACATTTAAAATGATTTCTAGACGAAAAATACGAGTATTGTAAATTCATGGAAAATGGNTTCAAAATTGACATTTAAAATGATTTCTAGACGAAAAATACGAGTATTGTAAATTCTTGGAAAATGGGCGTAGCCACGCCCACTTATGATTACATGAGTATATCTTGGTAACCAATTTCTCCCAATCTTGGTACAGTTGTTGGCCTCGATACAACGTACCAAATGGCATAAAATTTTTAGAATCGGACAATAACCACGCCCACATCCCATACAACGGTAATTTAGAGAAATACGAAATCTTCGATAAATCATTAAATACTGAAGCTAATTTATTTAAAATTAATGCTTGTAATAATTCTATAGCTAGAAATACGTTTATGATGAAATTTTGGAAAATGGGCGTATCACCGCCCACTTATGAACACATATATGTATATCGGTAACCGTTAGATCAATTTCTACCAAATTCGGTATGATTATTGTGCTTGCCACAGAAAAGCAAAACGTTCAAAATTATTGAAATCGAACTAAAATTACCCCCACTTTTCGTAAATTTCAGAAATGCTTGAAACTTCGAAATTTGAAATTTAAGGGCGCTAATTTATTCAAAATTGGTATAGTGGTAAGCAGTGCGCGCTCCCACTTCACAATGCCTGGGTTCAAACCCTGGTCAAAGCAACATCGCAAAAATATAGGAAAAAGGTTTTTTCTTAACAGCGGTCGTCCCTCGGCAGGCAATGGCAAACCTCCGAGTGTATTTCTGCCATGAAAAACAGCTTCTCATAAAAATACAATCGCCGTTCGGAGTCGGCGTAAAACTGTAGGTCCCTCCGCTTTGTGTGACAACATCAAGGCGCACGCCACAAATCGCTGGAGAAGCTCGGCCAAACACTAACATATGTGTAAGCGCCAATTTATTATTATTATTATTATTATTAATTTATTCAAAATTGATACTAACAAAAATCCCTTGAAAAAAATTACAGTAGTTAGGCGGGTTGGGTACTTAAAAGAACCCGCTTAAATACCTCGATGCGGGTACTTAAGCGAACATAGTTTGTGATGTAGTTACATCTTCTTGTTAACTTACATACCTAAATAAGTCCTTGAATAAAACATGAACATTTAATGAATTATGCGCAATTTAAAACCAAGATCGTAGCATTATTTAAACACGTAAACACTAGGGATGCCAAAATATCAGGAAAATTGGAATCCCGGGATTTCGGGATATTTTTTAGGTAATCCTGGGATCCCGCGATTTATCCCGGGATTCAAATTGAGTGATAAATTTTATGAATATGAGTAAAAATTCAATATCTGAAAGCATTTAAACATACCATTAAGTATAACTATTTAAAATTTACGATAAACTGATTGTAAAACTCATATATCGCTAGCTTAGAGTGAAAATTTGCTAACTTCACTTTTAATGAAAAATCATATTTTGATATAGGAGACCAGATAAAGGTCCTTGTTTTATGTTTACTCGTTTATATTCAATCAAAGGAAAATTTGCTAAGGCCAAAAAAGTTCGAAATCTTTTAATGAATATCGAATCCCTCCGATTCGTATGGAGTTTTGCTTTGCACACAAGCGGGTTTCACTGTAGTATTATTTGGAATTTCGGAAAATGGGCGATGGGATCGAAGATGTTTGAAATAGGGGTAAAACCACCCCTGATTACCATGTGTCGTTAGTTTTCGGAAAGGTAAAAAAACTACATATATTTAGTACTTGCGCCGGGTATTTAATGTTCGGCTCGACCTGAACTTAGACTTTCTTACTTGTTAAATAACAATTTATTAAATTACTTACTTCTGCCACTTTTTCCTAGGGTGCAAATTTGACAAGGGATGACCGAAATTCGTTCCAAAATACATCAACGCAAAAACAAAATATGTAAGCCTCCACGTAAGTATTTAAGACATTATTACCTTTTTATTTGCAAATAAAGCCTAACACGTTTTTAGCTCAGTCCGCACAATTTTTTGAAAGAAAGTATAAAGATAAAAAAACTAGGTATAGCGTTTTTAAAATTAGTGAAGGTGTAAATAAAAACGGGTTTTAAGGCCAAAACCTTTAAAGGGCCAATTATAGTCATTAGCGAGGCCTTTTCGGCGACAAAAAGATTAAAAACTTGGACATGAAATAAGAAAGTTACAGAAAAAAACGCGATTTAGCTTTTTTAGCGGGTGACTAAAAATAAAATTTTACACCCAAAATGTTTTCTCGACATATAAGTTCAAATATAACTGACACACAATCAACTTATTTTTCTTTCTTATATAGTATATTGAATTTAATAAAATAATAAAAAATATACCTATACGAAAGTTTGTCATTTATTTACACTTCAAAAATATGGTCACCGTAATTATATTGCAAATTTTCAGAACTTTACCTAATCACTTATTTTTGGAAAACAAATTGCGTGTTCACTCCCTACCCTCACTTTATAGTTCCAGTGTGAGTTCTGACGGCCGGCCTCTCTCTATATCGGTAACAACCGAACTTGTAAATGTTAAAATTTCTACTTTACTGATTCACGCCTTCCCCTACGTAGCCAACTCTTAAGCTGAGATCCCACGATTGCCGCAATACGCCAATTATTGCCTCATTTTATGCCCAAATAAATTGACTCATGGGGCAATAGAGGCCGATAATGTGCTTACTGTGCCCAATCAAATACAACCAGGTTGCGGCAATCGTGTGATGGCTCGATTAGATCATGTAGCAATGAAAATTTCAAAATTTCGGCAATATTTATTGTGTTCTTGTGCGGCAATTAAAGTGAAAAATACACAACAATATTTAGGCTGTTTATTAATAATTTACTTTTTTTCTTCCTTGTTTGTCCAAAAATCACTGAATTGAATATCTTGGTTTTCAGAAGTAACGTAAATTTTTATTTAATTTTTATTCAAATTATAATTATACCCGAGCACACTTGTGCACAAGGGTATATAAAATTTGTTGACATAACGGTTGCTTGTAACAGGCAAAACGAATCGAGATAGATATAGACAAATGTATACATAAATGATCAGAATGAAAAGTGAAATCGATTAAGCGGTGACTGTCTGTCCGTACGTCCGTCCGTCTGTGCACACGATAACTCGAGTAAAAAGTGAGATATCTTAACGAAACTTGGCACGGACAATAACCACGCCTACCTCCCATGTAACGGTAGTTTTGAGAAATACGAATACTGCGATATTTTAGTAACTGCTGAAGATTATTCACTCAAAACTGATATTTAGAATCAGTTTTAGACCAAAAATAGGAGTATTATATATTTTTGGAAAATGGGCGTAGCCACGCCCACTAATAATTACATCCAGCAATTTCTCCCAAACTTGGCACAGTTTTTGGCCTTGGTACAACATACCAAATGGCTGAAAATGATTAAAATCGGATAATAACCACGCCCACGTCCCATATAACCGTAATTTAGAATATGAAATCTTCGATAAATCAGTAAATATGACAGCTAATTTATTCAAAATTGATGCTTCCAACAATTCTTTACCAAGAAATGCAGTTATGACAAAAAAATTGGAAAATGGGCGTGGCACCGCCCACTTATGATCAG